GGAGTTGTTTCACGACTCTCCACCGGCTGGACACCCTGGACGTGCCAAAACCTTAGAATTAATTTCCAGAAACTATTGGTGGCCTTCAATGACGAAGTATGTCCATGATTACGTAGATGGTTGTGATCAATGCAAACAAACGAAAGTGTTCCCCAGTAGACCAACGGGACCTTTACAGCCAAATGAAGTTCCAGAAGGACCTTGGCAAACGATCTCATGCGACCTGATAGTGGACTTACCAAAGAGTGAAGGATGCGACAGTATATTTGTTGTTGTTGATCGATTTTCAAAACAATCGCACTTCATCCCCACCACCAAAGACGTAGACTCGAAGGGAATTGCCGAGCTATTTCTAAGAAATGTATGGAAACATCATGGTACACCCAAAGAAAGTGATTTCAGACAGAGGAACACAGTTCATCTCGAAGTTTATAGGACAAGTATCGAATAGATTAGGAACGAAATGGTCTGCCTCGACCTCCTATCATCCCAGGACAGACGGACAAACAGAACGTGTAAACCAAGAAGTTGAACAGTACTTGCGCATGTTTGCCTCATATAGACAGAATGATTGGGTATCTTGGCTGCCAATAGCAGAGTTTTCACATAACAATGCAGTCACAGTAACCGGTCACAGTCCGTTCAAAGTCCTCTATGGACACCCTTGGCAGCACTTTTTAGTGCTTCCCACGGTCTGTCAGACCCAGTTTTCGTGTATGGCACAACATGTCTCTGAGACATCCCTCTCCCCGGAGGGTCTCCCTCAATTCCTTAAGAGTAACCAGTGTACCCTCATGGGCCTCATTGGAGGGTTAACTGGTTAGCTCTGATTATTGCAGAAGGTGCCTAACAGCCTCCACTACGTCAGCATGGGTCTCTCGCCCCTCGTCAACATAACTTGGAGCCTCTCAGGTGTGCTCCTCGGACCTCCACATATGTTTTCCCTTATGTTATATCTTCATATTTATGTCGGAAGGGGTCTCTCGCCACTCGTCAACATAACTTGGAGCCTCTTGTGCTCCTCTACTTATGTTTTCCCTTATGTTTTATTTCATATCTTCGTCACTCACATTTATGTTTTTCCCCACCCGCTACTTCTCATATGTTTTTTTTTGCTTTTGTCGTTGTATTTATGTTGTAAAATGTCACTTTCCAATAAACATATCACGCTCCAGTTTCGCAGCGATTTCGAACAAGTTCTGAAGCAAACCAAAGCAGGCATTGGAGCCGCTATACTGATATTATCAAGACAAGGAAAAATGTAACGACCGCATGTGTAGCTACATAAATAGGGTACGAAAGCGGGACGAGTGTAGGAATGAGCAAACCACCATAGCAAGTTATCAGCATAAACAGACGAAGTAAGCACAAGAAGAAGAACCAAAGAGCAACCCAACCAATGACAAAAGCACGGGTGCATCAAAAGCCGATTATGATGAAGGAGGAGGTGGAGGGAGAGTGTGATCACGACTAAATGCTCGTGGCACAGCATAGTCCGAAGATGAAGATGCAACACTGTGGACGTTGTCCATCCATCTGGAATCCTGGTTACGAGCCCTGCCTTGAGGGTACCCCACTGTCACGGTATGGTCCTCCACCAAATCCCCGACGCTCGTCAAGGTCATTGCGTCGAGCATAGTCCGGACCAGGCACTGGGCTGTATCGGCTTGGGTATGAACGTTCACGCTCACCATGAGCATAAAGGGTGTCGCGGTGTGACTCCAAGGCTGGGGAACCATCCCGTGTGGTGAACTCGCTGTCAATGCGAGGATCAGTAGGTCCATAATAGTTGCGAGGTTGCAGACTAGTGTAGCGGTGATTGTGAGAGTCACGGTGGTACAAGACATCACGAGAGAGGTGAGCATCACGCTCGATCGTAGGAGTCTCTTCACGACGTCGCATGGCATCATGCATGTACCATGGCTCACGAGAATGGGCACGAAGAGGTTGACGAGTGTCACGGAGGGTATCACGTGGGTCGTGATGGGCAGTATCTCGAACATCATAGAGGACCTCATGACGAGGCTCGCGGGGATTGCGAAGAGGACCCCCCTCGTGAAGGTCGTCGCGAGGGTCAGAGATGACCTCCTGATGACGTTCCTGTTGGTGGTGAGGAGGGTTATCCTCACGAGATGATGACGTACAGGGAGCTTGTGATGAGCTTGGTGTAGGTCATGTGGAGGGTCGTGGGGGTTACGAGAGTCACGAACTGCATCGTGAAGACCCTCAATGGGTTTGGCGATGCGAGGGAGTTCCTGCTGCTTGTCCGCTGGCTTAGCATTGTGTGTTACCTCGGCCAAGCCTTCCTGTAAAGATTCTGCCGTGACATTGACCGAAGTAGGGGAGATGACACTCTCAGCAACCTTCTTGCCCTTGTCGACCTCAGATTCGTCTGACTGGCTGTATGCCATGCGGTGAGCACGCTTCATTTTACCTTTGGAGTCCTTGGTGATTCGGCGTGGTTTGACTGGAGGATAGATGGACATTAGTTATGTAGCAAGAAAATGTGAAATCGCTTACCCTTAGTCCGCTCAATATATGGTTCATCTTTAGGTCGCGCTGGAACCACAGCTATCAGCCTTGAGTCAAACGAAGTCAAGTGAGAAAAAAGTGTGCTCACTTTCAGGCTCTGGTGATCCCGCCACACTCGATGATCCCACTGTCAATGGGGACAACGGGCCACCCTTCGTCGGAGAGGTTGATGGTAAGGGAAGTGCTTTGGGTGGTTTCGTCTGAGCCCGTGACCCTTTCTTCCCTACTTTTGAAGTATCAGTCCTTCTCCTCGGATGATGCTTGCCTCTTTGACGCACAAGACGTGTTCGTAGCCTTAGCCTTCAGTTTCCTCTTCTTCCCGCGTGCTTCGTCATACTCGGTATCAGGCTCTTCGACATCCTCGGTCGAAGTAATTGAGATAACCTCGCTCGCTGCTGCAGTTGGTTCCGGCTTTTGAATGATTTTGACTGGGCGTGAGCGTGGTGCTGCCACAACCTTGAATGGGCGCGAGGGCAGGGGCGGTGGTAGTTCTACTCGCATGGTAGGTTTTCGGAGCTTGGGAGCAGCAGGTACTGCTGGGCGATCATCACCCGAGTCGGAGTCGGAGTCGTCGTCGTCATTATCGGAGGGTGGGAGAGGGGCCTGAGGCGCTTTTTTCTTTCTTAACCTTTGTAGCTGCACTGCTGGGCTGGAGACGAACTGGGCCATGGTAGTCGGTATCACCATTAGCAAATAGTCGTCGAGCACCCTCATGAGGCCACTCGGGTGGCGGTGCGATGCCTGTAATGACTGGCCTCTCGGAGGCCATCACAGCTGCTACACATGAGGTTAAAACCCAAAAGTGCATATTAAAAGGTAAACAAAACTCACCTCGGTGTGCCTTGTCAACTTTGAAGACTTGCATGGTTCCTCCCTTCAACGCATCTATCAGCGTTACAATTTCCTTCTGAGTCAGCGCGCCGATGCCCTTGTTCTTCGAGTTTTCATTGTGAGCTTCGCCAGGCAAGAGACACTTATGAGCCGGATAGCCTCTAATACAGAGATTGGCATCAGCAAGGGCGCTTGACATGCCCTTCCAAGGGAAATTTTTATCCCAGGCGCACTTGCCTCCAAGTTGGGCTATTTGTAGTTTAGGTCAAATGAATAAAAGGAGTGTCGACGTTCTAACATACCAACTTGTCTGATAAGTTCGAGCTTGATCCATTTCAAAGCCATCATCCCGTCCCTCAGGAGCCTGAGACTGATCACGATCATGGCTCAGGGTTGAATTTGGAGTTGAAGGGGTCGTTGCGGGTGCCATCGTTGCGGGGTGCCATCATTGAATGCTTCATCCACCGCAGCTAAAGATGTAGTATTACTGTGCGGGCATAAGTCATAGCATAAACAAAATTTAAGTGTACACTCACTACACGTGAGCCTTGAGATGCCCGACGATGGCATCATCGCTTGCACGACATCGTGTCTCCCAGAACTGTCTCTTTAAGTATACGTCAGGATGTAGAGTACAAAGAGACTTACCCCTGCAGCACCTGGCGTGTTATACGAGTGGCCAAGTGAACCATCTTCATTGACTACTTTCCCGCAGAGCACGATCGCTGCTTCAAAGCCTGACTTCATAGCGGCAGACTCGAGCTGTGATTACAACATGAGGGGATGATGGAACTTCGGGAAAGAAAACGTACAATCTGTATCACCCTTCGATAGTGTTTCTGGAATCCATGTCCACGCTGAGCTATTGTTTGAGGCGATGATCCGAGGAGTGATGCCTCCTCATGCATGAGCAGGATATCTTGGTAAGAGTCAGGATAGGCCTCTTTGAATTTGTCGTAACATTGCGTGCGCACAGTTGCACCTATAAGGGTTATAAACGTCCTGCGCAACAAGATATAAAATAATACTTACTTGGCGTGCCACCTCCAGCCTGGGCTTCTTTGCCAATGCGCGCGAGTTCTATCTGCATATGCTCTTTGAAGTAGTTGGCGTATAGGTTCCAATAGTTAGTGCCATTCACGGTGCGTCCACGACTCTTCAAGAATAGGTTGATCAATTGGGAAGTAGGGAGCGTGGTGGATGTAGCGAGCTCAAGAAAGCAGCGCTCTACTGCAGCAAACCCAACATCAAGTGCTGCATTCACCTCTGCAGACCTGCGTCCAGTGACCGTAAGTCCTTCATCATGGGTCACTGGCTCGTGTTCCTCAGGAAAGCGTGCACGAGAGGTAGAAGGATGGCCTCCTAAGTCCATCTGGGAATTGGAACCGCTCAGCAAAGTACCGATAGTATTTGTTGAGGTGGTGCTATCACCATCCTTGAAAGGCGTCGGTGGAATGACATTGGTGGTTGGGAGGGCAGGCAGGTGATCATGAGACGATGATGACGGAACTGGCTGAAGGACGAATGGTGAGACTTTGCCAGCAAGATCCTCAGTCAATCCAGAATGGGTTTGGCCTGTAGCATGAGGATCTAGCGAGCATCCACGAGAGGTCAAACCCGATGAACTCACAGGAAAAGTGTAACTTGGCGGAGGTGCTAGGTGGTCCATATCCTGGGGGACGAAGTGATTTTGCGATCCTCCAGATAAATAAGATTCGAACCCCATCATGCTAAAGGTATCCGAAGAGTTGGGATCCATCCAGGCGTGTGGCTGGTTCATGGAACCAAAAAACACATCCTGGAGCTGTTCAGGAGCGTGTGGGGCAGGAAAGGGTGAGGCATGGCGACTACTACCCACATGGAGCATTGACGATGATGTTTCGCTTGTCGAGATAGCAGCCGGCACCGCATGAGGTAAGTTAGGTGCAGGATCTTGCCCTTCCACAGCGAGGCGTTGATAAGCCTGGCGGCGGGTAGATGCACCTTTGACAAGGCCGGCATCCCGCTCTGTAGCCTTGAGCTTACTCCTGAGTCGCGAAGGAGTCAGCTCAACGGGTGGTGATGGGTTACGACGGCCACCACCAAACTGCTCTTGCATGTAATCGAAGGTATCAGGAAGACCCATGTAACTCGGGTGAGGAGATGATGGGTTATCGGGGATGTTTTGCGTCATGTCTACAGTGTGGTCAATATTGGAAGAAATATATGACAGCACGCGTACTTACTCGTACTATGTGCAGTAGATGCCAATTTTTGCAGACCGTCTATTGGGCGGTTTGCGCAAGAGTATATCAGATGGGAAATCAGAAGGGGCAGAAAAAAACCTACAGCGCCTTCATATTTATGAGGCTGATTTGAGCTGATGCAGACTAAACAAGTTAGAATGGTATGCTAGCATGGAATTAAACAAACGTACAAGATATTTGAATAGGCCCATCTGGCAAGGTAACCAAGAGGGTGTGAGCGAGGCTCTCGGGATGCTCGAGAGGCTAATAAGAGGGTTCAGAACGAAAGGAATGAGGATAACGCTGTACATAATGCTAAATGACTCACGTTGAAATGAAATGCTTGAGCTGGCAACCAAAGTGTAATTCTGCGTGTATATGAAGAAGTGAAAGCAGGAGGCTTACCGGAAGATCGTGAGGGAGGCTCAAGGGTGGCTCAAGAGGCTCAAAAGAAGCGAATACCGCCAACGATCGATCACGACCCGAGTATCCGCATGTTCAGAAAAAAAAGTACAATTCCGAAAAGATTGCTTGTATAAACATGTCATCTACGTTATTTGAAATCATTAAGATTCAGTCATACCGTATCTGTTACGCTTGGCAGGCCGATGTTCACTCTCACTAACATGTAACTCATCATCATATTCAGAAGTCGATGCAGACTGCTCGACAGAAGTGATGGGCGGGATAAGGTTGGTGTGATTAGAAACTGCTCTGGAAGCTGACCGGAGTAGCGGGCGTGATATGGTGCGAGCAGTGGATGATGGTATTGCCCTAGAAGCTGGCCGGGGTGGTGGGCGTGATATCTCTACAAAAACCTGAGTACGACGAGTAGGGTGTATAGCAGGACGAGCAGCAGGTGCAGGAGGACGAGCAGCAGGTGCATGAGGACGCACAGCAGGTGTGTGAGGACGCGCAGCACGTGCTGGAGCTTCCACCCAGCGTCAACTTGGAGACTACTAACTCCTGGGTCCTCCTCTGTCGACACAGCCTTGTCCACAAGCTCAAGCTAGAAGCAATCAGTAATCAGCAGCATCTGAATATTAAACTGACTAAGGACTTACGAGGTGACTGATGGTACAGAAGTGCGTGTCTGTTTGCGTGCCAACATCAACAAAGTGTGAGGATTGAGATATGATTGCAGTCATTCTGCAGCAGGATACAGACAAGGTACGATAGTTGAGACTGTTAATCGATAAGAAGAAGCCATGGAAATTTTCGGAATAATACAGTAGCTTCGAAGTTCAAGGGTACTAGCGCCGAAAAGCAGGCTGGAGGGTTATTATGTAAGCTGAAGTCAGCGCTCAGCCCCATGAGGCTCCATGGAGGCTACTACTAGTAGTGGGAGGCTCCATGGAGGCTACTAGTGGGAGGCTTGTCCGAGCCTCCTGTGGGGTGGACATGACATTGGTGAGCCAATGAGATTGAAAATACATATCGCACTGAATTGAAAACACAAATGTAGAGGGATTGACTGCCAGCCAACTGTCTCAACAGTAGCATCATCGACTGCCGTGGTGCGCCCCATCATGCTAATACAAAATCAAGGCAAGAACATCATGTTTCATGGCTGTATTGCATTTGACGGGTAAGAGGACAGTATCGCAATATGAACTTAAGACCAACTATGGTCTTAACACACTTTTGACCATTCACATTGCCCGGTCTCTAGTATGGGTCGCAAAGCTAAGTACTTCACATTTGAAGAGAAATCAGCAGCTGCACAGCAACACAAGACATTGTATGCTCGGTCAGAACGGTAAGTATTTTGCAATCATTTATTCTTGTTAATCATATGTTTTACAGAGGTAAACTCGTTCGACAAGCTCAAAACGCTCGTGCCTATGCCAAGCATCATGGTCGATGTGGGCCTCGTATCAGATCTGGGGATCTGCATGCTCTTCAGGCGTCTTCCCTAATCCAATATTCAACCCTCTCCCTTCCCGATTCCTATCTGTTTCACCAATCTCTCACTGGATCTGACTTGATTGATCAATCCGATCTCTTGCAGTGGAACAAAGCCCCTCCTTACGACCTTCCAGCTCCACCTGATTCACCAGAGGAAGACCGTTTCACGCAAAACCTCTGCGACGTGACGCATGGCCGGCACTTGCGCGCAGAAAGGGAATCACATGCTCGTCACGCAGCCATATATAACATGGGTGAAATCGCTGAGCTTCTGAAAGAGATCCGAGAAGCACATCAGCGGTTACTTACAGGTTGGGATGAGCTCAATGCTCGTGTTAGCAGCTTGCAGGCATGCACAAGACACAAGGTCATGGCCGAATGCTATCGCCAATGGGTAGCACGAAGGATATTGAATTATCAGAGGGAGGACAATATGCTAATTACTGGGAAGAATCCTTATACGTAGACCTTGTATTACTGTAACTCGAGAGAGCTGGTAATGCAAGCACCATACTCCGCACATAGCGTCGCAGATTGCCCATGTCCTGCTCATGTAGGCCTGTAACACAGGCTGCCACGTATAACAGTGAATATTGCAGCCAATACCCACACGCCACAATCAAAGTCGTTATTCTGAAGACGTTTGGTCTAAATAATACACGATGTCAGACTAGTCAAGAAAGCAAAGCATGAAACTCACATTCAGTGGTCGAGCCACCCACCCTGCAAGATCAATATGAACATGATGGCCGTGTTGACGCAGCAACTGCAAGGAACCGAGCAATCAGTCTCATTATATCCTTTCATATCATGTGTCAATCAGTCAGGTCAGACAAAAGAACTCTTAAAAAATTAATCTCACTTTGACGTCACTTTGCCAAGGGGTCCTGTCGCCCATGCTGTCAAACAGGTAAAGTTCTTTGGTCGACAACTGGATGACGCACATCACCCAGTGTCCAATCCCTGATGGACGATGAATCGGAAGAACCCATATGTCTTTTTCCCAATAACGAATCCACATTGTATGGCGCCAGATGTTGTCGTCTGGGGCATTGTAACGAATGCGGGGAAGATCGTGAGTGGAGAGTATCGCACACCGTGCAGCGGAGGTGTTCAGTTGAGAGCACCACAGGAGAATGGTGCAGTTGTTAATGCATGTATCATTGAGGCATGCAGTAGGAGAACTGAGTATACCGATTTCTTTTGGATCAAACTCTAGACGAGGGATTCTGTCATGCGAAGGTCGTATTCGCGCGAAAATTTTAGCAGGGTCGAGGACACCTGGCTCTTGCGATGGGACGCAGAAGTCATCCACAAGGAGATTCTATGACACGTCATCGTCAACTCCTAACAATAAAAATAACCGTACCTCAGGAAGGTTCCAGCAAATCACAGCATTAGCATCGCGCCCATAATTTGTTGAGTCATCGTCATCTAACTCAATTGCCCCCATCTCACCCTCCAGGACATCGGCCAGAGCTGCTTGTTCAGAGTCGACTTGGGGGCAATGGTCAGGATCGACGATAGGGAGTTCATCACAACCTTCAGAATCAGACACTACCAGCATGCTGGCATTAATCCAATGAAGTGCCATGTTTGGTGAGCCTCCCGAGAGGGTGGTCGCAATGGCTACTGCCTTGCTGACTTCATTAGTAAAGCGTACCGAAGAAGCCAAGCAATTTGACCATCGTGTTTGAAGGCAGATAAAATTGGCATGCCGTTGTTGCAATAGAACTGCGAATGGTTCACCTAAGGGTATATGAGATATGGAAGTTAATAAGAAAGGTTAGCTCACTGTTTGGCGACCGAAGGGCAAGTTCAAGTGCCCCCAACTCATTTCCGAAGAAGCGGCACAGGTTATCGGCCTCAACACCTAGCCGAACCTGCTCCTCTCGACACCGATCACGCTTGAGAAGTGCACGAATGCCATCTCTTGTAGATGTGTCGTCTAACCACCACGGAACCTCTCCATGAGACGGTGTAATCCACACATCCTCCATCAGTCCTGGGTCAGAACGTAGTTCTGCAAGTTTGGTGGGAAGGGGTGCGGGCAGTGGAATCCCCCAGGATGTATCATACAATGAATCAAGCCGCTCACAGTAGGAGTTAAATTTCCTGATAGCGGTCATTAGTGCGGGCTGACGCTTGGAAATTGCTTTACGTGTCTGTTGATGCAGCTTGGTGCCTAAAAGAATCTAATAAATCATTCACAAATGAATCGGCATGAACTTACCTAACGCTTGCTGAGCGCCACCGACTGCTCGATCTAATTTATCCCACTCGAAGAAACTCGCAATCGCACGTTTACGAACGTTCATTTTGAGATCGCGTGCCATGAGAAGGATGCGAACAAATTCGAGATTGATGCCATGAAGCTCAGGAAATCTGTCATGAACATTCAATGAGGAGTAAAGAGCCTCGACCTTGTTCATCAGGCGATTGTGTCCCCTCTCTAGACTTTCGAGAGCCTCTAGTGTATCATCTGAAGCCATATCTTTCTCCAACATCGTCCTGGTGGTTTGCAATGCTTTGTCTGAGGCGTCCAGATCTGCCTGGAGAGCTAAGACTGTGTCCAACTCCTTCTTGAGGCGGGCGGGTGCATCTTGTGATATCATTGAGCAATAGCCACGTCATTTAAAAATGTATAAAACTTACGAGCACGGATAGATAACTGAGATTGCCTTTGCTGCGACCACTCGGCTTGCAATTCTTCAATGGAGACCTCACATTGATCTAGTGCGTCTTGGGCTGCTGAACCTTGCCCCTTGATGCCCCGTCTGAGGCGTCGTTTGATCCAGTCGCCTAGATCAGTTCGCATCTCCGAAGCTATAGCCACTGCTTGCCGATCAATCAACCATAAACAGCGTTGGCGCTAAGCAGTGTTTTAAATTCATTAGTTTTAAATGAAAATAATAGAGTACATACACTAGAAGTGCGCTCAACACCTATCAATCGAACTAAGCGAGACCAGAGGCGTTCGGTCCCTTCACCATCAGATAAGCCAAGACCCACACATATTCGTGGGTTATATACGAGCTGGCAAGCCCACTCATGCCCATATGCGTGCATGGCAGTGGTTGCAAATCGAAGGCGTGAGGTGATGCTTTTGGGAAGAATTTCATGCTGTAAATGGTGTAAGCAATTGTTTCAGTCCAGGATCATAACGTACCTTGGAGAGTGTTCGTGCCAAAACACAGCCGACATCATAAAGAGCTACGACAGTAGCTTCGGGGGGGAGAAGTGAAAAGAAGTGCTGAAGTAAGGCTACCGAATACTTTTGCTGTTCTCCAGGTGAGTCTATGTTGGCAAAAAATAAAGGGATGTCGTGACGACAGATAAGGGCCATGATTCCAGTGTCGTCGAAGCTATCCATTGCCACTTTCTGTTTTTTGCCGTCAGCAGCCTCGTAAGCATTCTCGCATTGGTCAACGGCTTCATCAGGGACAAGGGGAACGTGAGACCTCACTGGTCGCTTACGTTGAGTGTCAATATGGCGCCCAATCGTGTCAACAAAGGTTTTCGGGAGAAAATAAGTAGGGTCATAGAACTTTGGACAGTCTCCAGCAGCACGTCGATGACGGTGATGGAAATTACCGTCCATTGCGACATGAATGTCACCTCCCTCATCTGTAGATCTACCATGAAGAATACCTGCAAAGCAAGCAGGACACCGTTGCACTAGAAGGGGTGCGCATTGAGTGGGCAAAGGTGAATTCGAGACTCGAGAGGATGCTTGAAACTCTGCTATACGATCACGGTGTTGTTGAACGACCGTCTCAACTTGGCGCTCAACTTCAACTTGCAGGATGTCGTACCATTGCACGGCATAGCCGAGGCCTCGTCGGAATGGGTCCTGTATAACTTCGCCCTGGGATGAATCAGTAGTGACCTAGTTATGTAAGTGATTGTTACCTGGGCGTCAGTCATCTGGTAACCCCGCCGGGAGTAGTGATTTTTGAGCGCTGATGCGAGAGCGTTAATCGCGTCACATGAGCGCTCAAACAATGCGCGGTAGAATGAGAGCAGGTCAACAGATACAGCCATTCGAGGCTGTGAAGGCGCGGTCGGAAATAGACCATGGTGAACGAGGACTTGCTGGAGAGTGGAGCAGGTACAACTTAGTACATCTATAGATGTGAACCCTATGTAGATGTCAGCAAAATTTTGATTACTGCAAGACATGGGCTCACGGTCGGAGAATAAACACATCATTGTTGTCCGTTTCGGTGTACACGAAGGCTTCCCACATGCAGATATGACTGGATGTATATTTTCCAGTGCTTTGCCCTGCGTTTGTCTGAAGTACTGGAGTACTGGATCAACAAGGGTTGGTATGAGTGCAATCCAGTTTTTGTAGAGTGAATTGGTGGATTTGTCGGGCACAATCCGCCGTTTGACAGGCGATACTGAGATCTCAAGAGATGGCTGTTCATCAGAGTGAAATTTGCTGACAACAAGATTGTCAGTATCCATGTGTTCCGTAGTCACAGTATCAGATGGTGGTGCTTGTGCCAACAACTGTGGGTGTGATTCCTCGTGTTGCGGCTTCAAAAGTCGTTCCATTGCGTCCAAAAGTCGGCGGCGCTTAGTCTCTGCGCCAGGAAGCTCAACATATGTTTGAGTTTTCCGTTTGTCTCGAGCCTTCCTTGGGCTTACAAAGTGAGATCCTAGGCCAGAAGATGCGAGTTGAGCTTTGCGAGTGCGACGTGGCGTCAAGGAAGACATGGTGAGGGAAAGAAGAGAAGAACTTACAGCGTGAATCGGGGAGGAGCAAGGCTCCCAAGCTCAGTGCATAAGAGATTACTGGAGGTGCACGAGAGGTTTTCTGGAGGTGCACGAGAGGTTTTCTGGAGGTGCACGAGGGTTTTCTGGAGGTGCACGAGGGGTTTCTGGAGGCGCAGGTACATCCTAGGAGGGTGTGTTATTATTAGAAGGCGGGAGGGTGGGTCTCACAGACTACTTTCCCACAACATAGGAACCGGGTCTCAAAGACCATTATTGGTTCCGAAAAGTAATGCCTGAGGTGCCCATTATTTGCACAACTAATTCAGCGGACTTTGAGCAGAGTAAATCAAGCAAAACAAGTAATTATGAGGTACACTAACACAATCCGATGTCACCATTCGTCCGCTGTGCCATCATTCTCCGACTCGTCACTCGAAAACTGCCAAACTATCAAGGCTGTGTGATCAACACCTGTGGCACTGTCATCTGATGGAACATTGGGTTCATCAAGCTCAGCTAGAGCATCTAGGTCACGGACATGAGAATCGCCTTTGGCCTCGTCAGTATAAGTATAGTCAATTAAAGGATATTTGCGCTACCTAGGCCCAATCCTCCGCGCACACCACCCATGTAGTACATGCCGTCCAGTTCCTCGTTAAAAGGTAAATCGCCATGGCCACCTATCAATGGCAATGCATCGGCGGCAACATCTTCGTTTTCTGTCAGTAGTGAGTTTGGATGCGGGTTCTCTGCAAGCTGTACAGCAGACAGGAGGTTCCTGTATACAGTCCAAACTGACGACCGAGTGACTGCAGGACGTCCCATTGCGTCATAGCAATGCTCGATAAAGTCGCCCAGCGTAGGTGGGACAATATTGAATACTGGATGGGAAGTGTTAATGTAGAAATTGCGAACATAGTCGATGCCCTCGTGATCTATAGAAACCTAGTTGGTACAGTAAGCCTTCGCACAGGGTCACTTATGCAAATCAATACCTTAAAGTCCAATGCTCCGAAATCTTCAGGAGAATCATATATAAGATTTGGGACACCGTGTGGGAGTACCTAGAGGGATTGCAGGCGCATATTTTAACAAGACAGAAACAAGTAGATACCTTGTTGCGGTCGCGCCTTTTGGCGCTATTGTTCACTCGATCTCTATAAGCATCAAGCTCCTGCTGCAACCAGGGTATAAAAACCCAACGAAATACCATCCTAGACGTGGACAAATGACATTATGAGCACATAAAAGTGTAAGATGAGTGCTACGTACATGTGAAGGGTATTCCCTAAATCATACCAGCCTTCAATGACCCCTTCATCCAGCAAGGTCTCGAAACCGGGAGTGAACCTACACCGGAGCTGCGACCAAGTAATCTCCGGCATTACATTTTTCTTCGTACGCATCCAACAATGTTGCAGGGTACCTTGGAGGGCTGGGTCGTAACGCTGGTGAAGAAGAGTCTGTGCATTTGCAATGCCATAGTTTTTGGTGCCTAGATCGCTTTGAGTGATCAGCGGCATGTCTGGCAGTTGTGTCAGTGAAGTATTTACAACTAGTATACCTGAAACTCACAACCAAGTTCCGCAATTGTCACGAATTCCAAACACAAATCATTATTCTTTCTTGAACACTCGTGAAACCTCTAAAGACATTCGTAAGACACCCGTTAAGTGCCCGTCACAAGCGCCTGTCGTTAGCGCTCAGTCAGCGTCTGTACCCATAACCTTTACAAACCCTAACCCGAACTCATCCTTCACATATCCGAACTTCTCTATTCCATTAGCGCCCACTACTTTTATCTCCGACATTCCTGATTTCGACTTCCTTTCACAAGTGATCAAGTCATGTGACTCTAGAACCTTCGAGAACCCTTGCACAGCTGTTACACGTTTTATGACATCATAGGTGCAGTTATATTTAGATCATCATACGATTCTCTCTTCTATTTAATGATTGGTTAGTTAGTTCATTCTCAGATTCAGTCTCCATTTCAATATATGTATATAGTTAGCTCGTTGTAGTCAGTAGTTCTTTAGTTCAAACCTCTTTTGTATTAGCTCACTGCTAGCAATCCTAAGACGTCCCTGCTCATATTCTCTTTTCTTGTTGTGATAACCTTGTTTGAGTCCTAGTCTCTGCCCCTGCGTTAATTCGTTATAAGGGTTGTGACAGCAATCGTATCAAGGTAGTAGCTGAGGATTAACTGTGGGTTTCGGTTAGAGTGCCAAACTCGAATCCACATGATCCGCCCTGAAAACGGCTCAATTCCAGTGTGAAGACCGAGCCCAAACCTCAACCATTTATCATGCTGGTCAACAGTAAAGAGATCGTTAACGCCGGCTGCCCAGAAGCACTTCCGTTTCAGTCGTCTGGCTTTACATTGCTGCACTAGTTCGGGCTCATAGGCAGCGAAGTAAGACATCATGACTGACCTAGTATTAGTAGTTACAATGTAAGTCTCTGTGACAAACTGATTAATTGGACAAAATCACTTAGCTACACTCATATTCTTTTCATGAAAGAGTAAACCGATCATCTCTCGTGTTCCAGCATGAGGGAACATCTGACGAAGTTCCGTGACAGCTTCGTGGATGGTCTCTACAGTGTGACCTTGCCAACGCGAGCGTTCAAGGCCCATATCCACACAAATTTGGCGAAACTTTGTGAGTCTAAGATAGATAGAATAGATTTCAGATCAGAAGATGACAGCTAATCATAATGTTCATCCACGCACCCGATACCATAGCGTTCTGTGTCGAAATGTTTCTGTAAAGCATGAACAATCTCTTTATCATTGAGACGTGTCTTCCAATAGCGCAGAATGTGAGGCGTGAGCTCATCTAAGGGGGCTAGGCAAGGTTAAAGTCAAGGAGTAGTAAAGTAAGATGTGTGCCACACGTACGTGTGGGTTTATACTGGTTGGGCATGCTGAGAGATACAGGACAGTCCCGGTTTACCGTGATGCTGTTATATCATCCGAATATCATCTCTGTAACGCCACCTTAACTTTCAACTTGGCATGCAGGTGCGTTCACAAGTATAACACTTACCTTGTTCTAACTTGTGCAGATAAGGACTCAGGCTGCTCCTCGGATATTACATAGAGGTCCGGAGCCATGTTTCTTGTAATGCCACCTTAACTTTCAACTCGGCATGCAGGTGTGTTCATAAGTATAGCACTTACCTTGTTCTAACTTGTTCATAAGTATAGCACTTACCTCGTTCTAACTTGTGCATCTTGCATTGGATCGCCTCTTTCATCATCCCATGTGAATCGCCTCTTTCATCCTCCCATGTAACACCACCTTAACTTTCAACTCAGCATGCAGGTGTGTTCATAAGTATAGCACTTACCTCGTTCTAACTTGTGCATCTTGCACTTTCATTGGATCGCCTATTTCATCCTCCCATGTGGATCGCCTCTTTCATGCCACCTTCATCCTCCCTCTTTCATCCTCCCATGTAGATCGCCTCTTTCATCCTCCCATGTGGATCGCCTCTTTCATGCCGCCTTCATCCTCCCTCTTTCATCCTCCCATGTGGATCGCCTCTTTCATGCTGCAAACATCTTTCTCTTTCATTGGATCGCCTCTTTCTTTCATCCTCCCTATTTTCATCCTCCCTATTCACGCTTTCGCCTTTGCAACTCTTCTTGGCGCCTAACTGGTACCCTTCAAGATGAGGCATTTCATTGATTTCTTGGTACTCTCACATCGCTTTCACATAGTTCTTGGTGCTCTCACTTGATTTGATCAACTCACTCGGTCCAACCAACTTGACGCTCTGAAGTGAGGCTTATGGCGCTCTCACTTGGTATGAACAGCTCTAACTACGGTCTAGACACTCTCTGAACAACTGACGATTTGGTATGACCATGTATTGATTTCCGGCAGTCTTTGAGGCAAGGCTCATGGCGCTCTCACTTGGTCTGATCAACTGACGGTCTAGTATGGACATTTGTTACAGTATTTAACTTGTCGCATCCCCATGTAGAATATAATTGTATCTTGCCTCTTCACCATCGATGGCCTCTCACGAACTTGTGTCACAGTTCACTGAAGACGCATTCGCCAATGAAGACCGCATCTGTGAACGCTCCACCTGTGCTGCCAAAATTCGGAAGGGAGAGCCATGTTTCTACATTGCTACAATAGTCATTGGTCAACGTGGACGCTTTGTTTGTGGACCTTGTCACCGACACTATCAAGGCAAAAGAGCAACATCAATCAGGCCTACCAGTGTTCAGCGTCCTGATGCTCAAGTTATCCGGCAAAACATCAATGCTGCATGGAGACCAGGTTCGTCTGCGTACTTGCATACTGTTTACCTTTACTTATGCGATTTCTCAGCGTCGGTTCAGCAGACACCACGTGTAGTTGCTACTAGTGCCCCTTACGGTCGTTCTGGGCCAGATATAGCCATCCCTTCCAGCTGGCATAACGCCAACACTAATGCCAACGCTATGCAGTCTCTCCCAGTTCCTTACCTGGCAGCTGGTCAGCCTGGCTACTTGGCGAACCATGCACATTATGGCAGTGAACACCAACGCTGGGCTAAGCAAGTATATGCTGCCCCCCCAGCAGAGACCATTAACCCAGAGATTTTGGTTGTTCGGGAAGGCGGAAATAAGAGGAAGGGCGCCCGTGGCATACCATTTGGTGTATGTAGATAGACTCAGAACACTACATTCACTGACATTTTTGAATTTCAGAACATATGCGAAGGCAAGAAAGACGTTGATGCACGTATCGACGCACCCAGACTCATCACACTTGCTCTGGACACCATCTTACCGAAGGTACAAGCTTTCGCAGTAGGCTTTCCATGGTGCCATGACCAATTCGTCATTCGAGACGGTGGATGGGTTGATTTATCAACCCATCCCCCATGTCAACCTTATTTTTACTCTCAATGCATGCATGCAACTCGCAAAGGCTCGCGCGCTATGACATTCAAGTCAAAACAATTCTTATTTTATGTTGTTGTGCCCATGGCTCAATGGGAGGACTATGAAATATGGCTTGATAAAGCTGAAGAGGTCGGTACTCATCAATGACACAGTGGGTACATACTTACATGAAATACAATACCCTTAGGAACGATTCAGCATGCATTTGCAGCCTGGGCTATTCTCTGCAGCTTCTGTGGAAGAGAATGTCCATTCGAGCATCGGTTCGAGCGTCCATTCGAGCGCAGCAACTGATTCGCCGACTATCTCATCATGCGAAGCACTGACATCTGAAGCACCATCCCAAGCACCAGGAAAGCGGTGGTTTCTCTGTGAGATCACTAGTGTCCCATCATCGCCTCCCCTCAAGAAAGCAGCACCTGCCAAGGTTGCTTTCTGTTCTCCAGATCGAGAACAGCTACGGGAAGTTTTGCAGTCTGGTGGGACTGCAGACATAAACGTCCAACAGAGTAAGCATGTCCTGTCACTTCTAGTCCTTCTCTGACGTCATTCCTAGTGCTCACTGTACAGCATGAGAACATCGATTTCTTCCCCATCTTAACGTGCCCGCTATCAGTCATTTTAGAGGACCCGGAGCTTCATGCTGCCTTCCGTGCGGATACTGAATTGAGCCACAGTGGCTGGCTTACAGTTCAGATTTCCACAAACGATATGCTCGGCATCGGAGGCTTCAAGACTGCCCATCCTGGTTTCCTGACACTTTTATCAGCCCCCGAAACTCTCCTAGGTGCGCACTCACGCCAAAAGGTTGCAGTCAAGCGACCCTTTTACAAGAAGTACCCTCTGGGCGGCAGCAAAAACCCGATGAATTTCGTCTTTGGACGTTATACAATAAGTGATGAGCTTCCAAAGCTATTCAGGGAGGCAAATGTGTTATACTGGGCGCGCGCATTGCTAACATTTTCATACGAATACATCGACCATTGTGTTTCTAACTCGTCTGAACCTCCGCCCTTTCATATCCCTCGCTTGCGCTTTGTTGAGGCTGGTCTTGCATTATCACATGATCATGCACAATCTGGCCACCACAAATCAAAGTCGCCGGCCATGCCTCGGGCTGTGTACCTCGTTGAAGAATTGATTACTGACGAATTCCTCAAATACATCCATAACATGGATTGCAACCCAATGCTTGACCTGGACGAGGTTGGCTATGAAATCGCCGCGTTTTTTAGCGTGCACACAACATATACAGTACGCTAAAACCGGCGGCCTTGCTTTCATCTCTGACTATCAAGGTATGTGCCATCAGTGATATCATGTATGACCTTCCAGGCTAATTGCTCTGCTGCAGGTGGTTGCGAGGTCTTATCCGACCCTCAAGTACTTACGCATCCATAAGTGATTTTTGCTTCGGCTTTACAGGTGTTGCTCATCGAATCATAGATCGGTTAACAAGGGCAAGGACGTCTTTGGTGACGGCAACATTGAATGAGCGGTCAGCACGTTCGAGCAGGCACACCACTGCAATAATTACTGTCAGTGGAGTGGGTTTAAGCTGGAGTGTTATAACACAGCGGAGCTGGAGACAGAGACTCAGATGGACTCAACTCAGATGGACTCGGAGGATGTCTTGTAGTATATTTATTAGTTTGCTGTTTGGACTCGGAGGATGTCTTGTAGTAGATTCGGACGTTGTCATTGGCTTGTTGTATTATTGCAAAGCGCTGTCTTCCATCAAGATGTAAATGTTTGGTTAGTACGCATCAAAATATTATTTGCACAGCTGTCAGTACGCAAAGATACGGTGTTTGGGGTCTTTTCGCAAATACGCTGACTAAATGAGCACGGTGCTCCGGCTTTCCATACTTTGCACTATGGAAAAACACATTTTGAGTGTATCAAAAACATGTCAAAAATCAATTACAAACTTGTTGTTAACTCTCAAAGCCCCAGTAACTTCCCCACCTTTAGCTTTCAAGTTATCCTCGGTTGCATTAGAAGAGCCAACACCAGAAGGAGTGTACGTTAATGAGGTTTCAGCGACGCTGGAAGAATTGAAAACGGCAGACCGAGCCATCATGATATTGTTCTGATGTGTGTAGTCTGCGTGCGCTCCTGTTTGATGTCGACGCCGAGGCGGAATTTACTTGTGATTGCCGCAGCAAGCTGCAAGACCCTCACTGGACAGTGATGTTAATGCGAAACTCTAGAACACCCCATAATGGAGAGCTCAAGACACCATGCAGGAGTGGCCCACCGAGGCATGCATAACGGAACAAGGGAGCTCGGCGAAAATTCAACTGAAATTTGAATGATAGATGCAAAGACAACTTGACAAGCCTCTAACAAATAAGGTGTCAAATGATTGTAACCGAAAAGGCCTGAACACGGGTGTGGTCGGCAGAGGTTTTGGGAGATAGGCCACCTAGGAGGGCGAACATGATCGGCTTCCCGTCTGGGCCCAGATGGGAAACCCATCGTGTTCTTCCTATCCTAACGTTGGGCGGACCTGCAACAGAGAGTGAGCAATGAAGAAAGTTGAATGCTAGAGCACCAAATCCGGGAAGCAACATGCCTTCAATTCAAACCCCCGAATCCAAAACAATCCAATGTTCCATCATAGCTGACTTGGAATTAATAGTAAATATTAAATACCTATTCGATGATCGTTAATCAGAGTTTGAAACGATTGATCTTCGATACTCATTGCAAATCACACATACCCTATGATATGAGTTCACATATGTGGACGATATCTGCTGACAACCAGAGGTAATTAAAGGAAGCTTCACAACCATAGAATCTCCGCTACGAACGTTCCAGAGAACAGAAGCCCAATACGTCACCAGGTGGAATATGATAGAATACTACGTCTTTGGTGACGACTCAATAAAAAATCGAGGGCATGGCAAATCTGGGCAATCGGTTGAGCCATGTACGTCGTCTTTCTATATGCCGCGCGGACCCCTGAAACAACTATGATCAAGCTTGTTTACTGATGTGGAAGGTTGCGGCGACACGACTTGGATGGATGAGTTCATGCGTTTGGATCATCAAGCAAGGTACTTATGATAATAGCCTCATGTTTTGGGCGTCTAGTGAGAGGTTATTACAATGAAGCAGATTTAAAACGCCCCATCACACGCACCTCTGCAACTTCGAGCAAGACGCTATCCCCCACACACGTCAAGTCCATCTCGACTGTGCTGCAGCTCCACTAAAATGACAGCCCTCATTCCAAGCACCACACCCATTCGAACATTCGAAGATCATGGGGATCACGTGGTCGCAATCGCAACCCTCCACGATGAACGCATGGTCACAGGCTCGTATGACGGGATGCTTCGTCTGTGGGACTTGAAAACAGGTGTAGTGTTAAAGAAGATGGAGGGGCATCGCAGTCGGGTGCGGGCATTAGCTGTTTCACCAGATGGAAAATGGATAGCAAGCGGTGATGAGAGCGGAGAGCTCATCGCCTGGCATGGAAGAACTGGGGAACAATTCAACCAAGCAATCAAAGCCCACAACGGCTGGATATTTTCGCTTGCATTTTCACGCTACGACACGCTGGCCAGTGGATCGTCCGACACCACCACGAATCTATGGAGGACATCCGAAACGTGGCAGGTGCAATATTCACTCAGTTGTCGCGGAAATGTCCGCTGTGTTCGGTATTCGCCGGATGGCTCAAAGCTTGCAATTGCAACGGACCAGAATATCAACATATACGATTCGCATTACTTGATTAATTACCATCGCAGTTACGATTACAATTACAATTACAGCTACAGTTACAGTTACCAAGGTCCTCAGTCCTTGGGAACGATTGACGGAGGATTCACCTACTCACTCGCATGGACGCCCGATGGCTCACGGCTTCTCTCGGGGGGCAACAGCGCTGATCCCACTATACGAGAGTGGGATACATCGACTTGGAAACAGGTCGGTGATCCCTGGGAGGGCCATTCCAGGAATATCCACGCCATTTCTGTGAACTCTAGCGGCACTCTCCTTGCCTCCGCATCTCATGATAACCGTGTCCGCCTCTGGAGACTCTCAGATCGACGAAACATTGCCATATTCAAGCACTCTGGGGAGGTGAACTGTGTCACGTTCTCTGCAAATGGCAAGCACGTCCTCAGTGGAGGGGTGGATAAAAAGATCTCAGAGTGGCCAACATCCGCTTTGCCAGAGGATGGCTCAAAGGATGGCCTCATGAAGGAGCAGGCGACACACCAGGTAAGTATGTTTTTTCTCGCCCATTCATAGTCTAAGTGTCTTTTTTATGCGAAGGCTCAAGCCTCTTCAGATTTCAAGGCATGTTCCCACCTTCGAGTCTTATAACGCAATGCGAACATGATTTACGCAGATCCTCGCTATGAACTCGACGGTCCGCAATGCGTGCATAGTTAGGGACTGGCCTACCGCTGAAAAGGTGCTAAATTTAGATATCGAAGCTCACCCCAGCGATCACACCGCCTATGCCAATCGCGCATTTGTTATGGCGCGAAAATGCGACTGGGACCAAGCACTTAAAGATGCAATTCAGGTAAGACCGACTGACTCATCATGACCTCCTTACAAAAGTTAACTTTGATGATGGCATAGTCCGTCAGCATACAGCCATCGTTGGCAGGTCATATCTCCCAGGGCATTGCCCTCTGTGGAAAGAAGCAGGTTCTAGCCGCGAGGATATCATTTGACCTCGCATCCATGTTCACGAACAGATATCTAATGACCGATCACATCCTCTTCTTGATCAAGGCAGGTAATATTTTTTTAACATACTCTGTCCTTCATTGCGGTTTTTAGGCCATTGCGTTGTTCAATGCAAGTGAACATCAAGAGGCAATGCTTCGCATCAGAGAGCTAGCCGCGTGTCGAAATGTCGATCCTGTTGCTTGTCGTATTGTGGAAGTGAGTGCCATGCACTCGATCGCACCAGGTTCATGTGCTGTCATTTATCTCTCTTGCCCTTTGTATAGGCCTACCTACGCGTCCAACTAGGAAACATTGCCTTGGATGGGGCGCGCCACAACGAAGCTGTCGAACACTTCACTGCCGCTGTGAATGCTAGCACTTTCTTTTACAAACTGCCAATTCATTTGAAATACGACGAATTTGTCGCGGTACGCCGATATGACTCAACCAAAAATTCTTTCGTATTCAACTCCGTGTTTTCCGCAGCTCTTTGGCTGGGACCTGAAGTCCTTGTGGCACACCGCGAACCAGCAACAGTGTTATGCACTCTTTCGAGCAGGTAGTTTTGGAGCAGCCACCGAATCTTATCAGTCGATCACGGATAAGACTGATGATGATATGAAGGCCGGCTTACGTGCTTGGTTCGCTGGTGAGTATTTCAGTAATGTCTCCCCGTCTCTCCATCAATAATCATCAACTACACTTCACTCAGCTCTCAAGTAAGATTGAAACGCGCTTCACGCTTCCCATGGAGATGGTGCGCTCGCTGCTAGCGGTTACTCGTATAGTTTGAATTTTTGAAACACAAAGCTCCTCAAATAGTTTTCATTTGTACCTTCACGGTAGCTGTATTGCTCGAATAGTCCTTAGTGCCCGTGTCATAATATACTGGCCCACTTGAATATGTTTACCTCATCCTTTACTTTCACTTGAAACCACTTCTGGACATCGTCTCGCACATCTGTCTTGACGTTTGAGGCTGAGCCAAGCGCGATCATATGCGTAACCTAACTAGTTGTGAATATTTCATACAGTGATCATACGACGGGACGCTGGACAGCCTCCACCCGTGGATCCCAGCTTCGCACCTGTGCAAGGCCGCGTCAGTCAATTAAGTAGACCGGTTTCAGCCAAGTGGTTATCACAACATAATCACAACCTGTTTCTCTCGAGATGGACCGTGGAGGTTCAAAACTTGCCCAACTTTTTTCTATTAGAACACACCTTACATACTAGTAAACCCATGGATGGTTTCCTCAGAGCCATATGACTGGTTTTAGCCAAGTGGTTACCCTAACGGAGTCGAAATCTGTTTGTCTTGGAGTTGGTTCGAAACCTACTGACAACATTTTTGTGGTGTAGAGAGCCTCGGAGGTCCATCTTAATGCGCTATCTGTGATCTAAACCCTTGACAGAAACTGTCGGGATTCACCACCAAACGAAAACGTTAATGGGGCCGGAGGCCAGAAGAATGTGCGCAAGCTAAGGACAGAGTGATTTTGACAGTTAGGAAAATGATGTAACCCGAGACATTGATCGAACATGATTCAATGCACAGGTCTTATGATACGAGAGTACTGCTGATAATGAGGATGCTCATCATA